GCATTCTCGTCGCGGCGGGCGAGACTTTCAGCGCTCCAGAAGAGCTGGAGAGAGCGGGAGGCGCATGCCCAACGCCACAGACAGAAAACACAAGACACCAGAGTCAAGCCTGGCCCTGTCGCTCCAGGCTAGTCACTGACCCTCTCTGAACCCAGAGTCTGCGTTTACAGAATAATCTTGTGGGACGTATTTCCTAAAGATCCTTTTCCAGATCCGACATTATCCTCAACACACACACACACACGCATATTTCTAAAAGTCGATGGTGTGGCCAGTGGTCTGGAAATGCTGGCTGCCATGTCAGTGGTGAAAGCGCTCGGAATCCGTAGATGTCCTCCCTGGGCTCCGCTGACCGGCGCATCGCCTGGACACCACCGCCCCCTTGTGGCAGCTCGTCTGATTTTCCGGAGTAAGTCAGCCCCTCGCGACTCAGCCCGTACACTACTGGATTTACAGCGGAGCTGGAGGAAGTCCCCAGAGCGTTACTCACCCTTGAAAGGAACGTATATTTGTAATCAGATTCGATGCTTGCGCTGCTCACTCCCTACCCCAAGACATTCATTTAGAGACTCTCTTTAAGTGGAATCACAGCCAGATTACTTCAATCCACTTACTGTATCAGTTCACAGATCAAAACTTGCAAGCTCAGCAAAGCTGGTGTTGTCCTAGGTCAGAGCGGACGCCTTCAAAGGGGAGCGGCACAGACCCCAGGTGGAGCTGTGAGCATTAAACACCCGGTGTGGGAGCACAATCTTTCCTTTCTCCGATAAGATTCAAACGGAAAAGCAGCCATTTGAAAGCGACCAGTTCTCTCTCTCTCTCTCTCTCACACCCAAACACACACACGTGCGCAGGACACTGCAATTTGAGTGACCTCTCCTCCTGCAAGGCCATGTGGTAGCTTGCACCTTCTGAACATTTGGCTACAAGAACTTGCTTGAGTCCACTGTTTTCCTTTCTTTTGGATTTCCGTCTAGGACTGGAATGCGGGGAACCTGTAGCAAATTCAGTGCTGAACTTTTTGATGAACAAAATCTTTAGCATGTGTCCTTGGGAAGGACTCCCCACCCTCTCTGCCTTGCGCTCTAGCTCTTGCTTGCTTATTCTCCCAGATTCACTGCAGGATTTTAGGCTGCCTGAGGTGGCTGTGCTTTGGGAGGTGGAGGGGAGTTAGAGGTTCTGGGACCCTAGGGGCTCCATGTGTCTGAAGCAAACATCTCCTAGAAAAGGCTCTTTTTAAGGTCATGGCAGAAACCCAGGAGGTCAAGCCAATCCATGCGAACCCACACAAGGGGTCTTTGGGCAGCCCTTTCCTGGTCAAAGTCTCGTGGCCAAGCCCAGTTGTAAGGCGCCAGGCCAAGCACTCAGGGTCTGTTGGGAGGTGCTTCACAGGGTGTGGGGTTACAGGCAGGGGGAAAGAACTGGAGGCTGCTAGAACCCTCCCCCGCCTCCAGGGAGCTTTGCTGTCCCTCTGTAAAGGGACATTACATTTTTAAGCTACTTTTCCAGTGTCACACTGACATTGTATTAAAGGCACTCACGGGCTGGGTGCAAATGTGTTTGCCCCGTGGGCTGTCAAGAGCCCCCAGGGCACCATGCCCTGGCCACTGCCATCCTGCCTGGGGGGCTGGCTTCTGGAGCAGCTGGACTCAGCTTTGTGCAAAGCTTCAGCGTCCTTTATCCAGGCCTTGTAAGGAATGTGAGTCAATCAATGGCATCAATTATTCATCTCAAGGAACATTCCCAGAACTGATCAGAAAGCTGGCAAAATCGCCAGCCTGGGGCTCATTTTCCAGTGTGTGTGTTACTCTGCTCACCTTCCAAGTGGCAGTCTCCTTCTAACAATTAAAAATTCATATCTCAGGGAAGAGTGAATATGAGTCCAGCAGAGATTGCCACCTGGCCTGCTGGCAGGGTCAGAACGATAGGCACACGGAGGTCCTGCAGGGTGTGAGATCCCCACGAGAGCCTCTGGGATGTCGGCTCAGGGCCATCCCCTGGGGGAGCTCAGCCACTGTTCAAAAAGGCCTTTTCTGCTGTCAGTTGAGGTATCGGGAACTCATGCCTATTAAAAGCCACTTTGAAAGTTTGGCTTCTCGGATGGCACCTTCTAGAGTATAAAACCTCCTGGGGTGGGAAGATCCCCTTTAATCAAACAACTGTCACGTGGCTGCCTCCTCACCTGTGAGGTAACTAAGGCTGTGAGTTTGTCTTCCTTTTCAGGAATCAGCATATTGCAGCACTATATAACACGGGCAGATCAAGTTTAAAAAAAGCGACGACCCCCTTGTGTCCCAAGCATCAGAGATAAACTCTGGTAACGGTGTGGTAGCAAATCTTCCAGAATATTCTCTGCTCTGATAGTGACACCCCCCAGTTATCATCCTACTTGATCAACAGCATGGGAGTGGGGTGTCCTCCTGGCTCCCCTGTGACTTCCCCTTGTGCCTGTAAGTTGGTATTCCTCAGAACCAGGGGGGCGGTTCAGGGCCACTGGGGTGGGGGGGCCATGGGGGATCCCTCTCACTCCCTCACTGCCCATGTGGACCGCCACCCCCATCTGCCCCAGTGTGGCTGTCCAGCCTTCTTCTCTTCCTGGCCACCCACCCGTCCCCTGGACACAACTGCTTACATCCTTTACAGGCACCTCAAACTTACTTTGACCTAAACTAAAATGTTAATCACTCTCTTCCAGAGTCTGCTTCTCTTCCATCTCAGAACTGGGACCTCTGTTCTGGATTGGGACTTGATAGCTTTCTCTTCTTCACTCTTTTCCTTCACTCTACTGTTCACATCAGTCAATTCGCCCGCAGATAGAGCCACATGTATGATACCCACATTTGGCCAGATCTAAGATGTGTGGCTGCTAGAACATTCTTAATCTTACCAGAAAGGGTCAAGGGATGTTTTTACCGTATCACTCCCTCACAAATGCTTTTTGCAGGCACTCCAAAGACAACAGTTAAAATATAATGCTATCAATTGAAGAATACATCTTGATTGCAGAGAAGTATAAACATGAAAAAACCGTGGATCTTAGAATAGATGAAATTGAGAATCTTGAACACATCTATTTCCCTCTTCTATCACCATTCTTCTCTATCTGGACTTCCTATTTCCTCTCTAGACCTCACATTTACACACAGCACCCCAAACTCCTGTTTTTCTTTTTACTCACTGGTAATTCTTGATCACCCTGTCTTCAGAATATACGGGGAAGCCAACAACTTTCATATCTCGCCTGCTGTGACCCCAGTTTCCACTACCACAGTATAAACTGGTCTCTCTGCCTCCACTCTGCCCCCAGCGGCAGGCCAGAGACCTTTCTAGAAAGCAAACCTGCCACATGCCCTCCCCTCATCTCAGAACTCCCCAGAGGTTATAGATGCTCTAAAGTGGCCAGAGGGTTCCTACTGGACAAACCCCCGACTCCTGCTCCATCCTCACTGCTCCACACTGTGGCCTCCAGGCTGGCTGTTTTCAGGGCTTTTGCATTTGCTATTCTGATGGCTTCAGAAGTATTTATCCTGGATTTTTGCACGGTTCTGTCATCAGATAGCAGTCGGCTCAAATGTCACCTCTGGGGAGAGGTCTTTCCCACATCAGCCTCACTAAAGCAACCTCTCTGCCCACCCCCCTCTCCCATTAACCGGTCGCCTTCCACATGTGCTGTCGGGTGGGATCTGACTTGTGGATTCACTTCTCCTCCCGCCGAAAGAGGGTGCAAGAGACTCTGTCTATTTGCTGCGGTAGTCGGGCACTTCAGGCAGGCACTCAATAAACACTGATGAAATGTTTGCTGGGTGGCACACCCTATTCCTCACTTTCTCTTCTGTCTTTCACCCCTCCCCCTACACTCCATTGTGGACTGAGCTTTCGAAAATGAAGACATGATAGTTATTTTCCTGCTTAAAGCCCACAACCGCCCGCCAAAACGCTTACATAATGCTTTACAGCACCAACTATATCTGAATTGTTGTATTTTAAATTTTATCCAGTTCAAATTGTTTTCTAATTTCCCTAATGATTTCTCCTTTGACTGATAAGTTTAGAAGTGTGTTATTTAATTTCCAAATATTGGGAAGTTTCCAGATAGCTTTCTGCTATTGATTTTTTAATTTAATTCGATGCTTATTCTTCAGTCATTGGGAGAAATATTCTATAAATGTCAATTATTCAATTTGGCTGAGTCACCTATAGCATTGTGGAGTCTTTGCTTATTGTAGCAGATATTTCGAGAGGTGTATGGAAATTTTCAACTATAGTTGTGCATTTGTTTGTTTCTCCTTGAATTTCACCAGTTGGATCTGTCAATTGTTTTAGGTAATATGATCTTTTCACAATGTTCCTTTTTCCAGCCAATGAACACAGGATATCTTTCCATTTCTTTGTCTTCTTTTATTTCCTTTGACAATGTCTTATGGTTTTCACTGTATAGTTCCTTTACCTCCTTTGTTTACTTCCAGGTATTTCATCCTTTTTGGTACAATTGGAAATAAGGTTGTTTCCTTAACTTCTCTTTCCTCTAATTCATTGTTTACATATAAAAACAACAGATTTGGGAGAGGCATTTGGGTTTTCTATGTATATTATCGTGTAATCTGTGACTAGAGATAGTTTAACTTCTTTAAACATAAAAAGGGACATACCGGCCTTCCCTGGTGGCACAGCGGGTTAAAGCACAGCACTAAGAATCTTAAGACACTTCCACATGAGTTCGATCCCTGCCTGCCCCAGAGGTAACCCACACGGCGCGACAAACCTCTCCTGACCCACCTGCTGCTCCCCTCAGCAGTGTGCTTCCTCAGTCGGCCTATTCTGCTCCCCACTCTGTCTCTGGTGAAGCCTCTCACCACCCCTACACCTCAGGCCTGTACCCCAGTGCTGTATGCATAAAGAAACAAACCTTTAAAAAAAATGGACATACTGATACAACAATATTCCTTTTAAGTATTTACTCTAAGAACATGAAAACATAGAAGCATTATTCACAATATCAAGACAAAAACCAACTCTAAATGCCCACTACAGGTGACTGGGTAAAGAAATATGGAAGACATACTCAATGGAATACTACTCGGCTTTAACATTCGTGAAACAGTGCCTCTTGGGACACCTGGGTTCCTTCCAGTGTGTCCCAAATGCTTGAATTGTGGTACCATCACCCTGTTACCTCCCTGCACACCACCCCCGCTCTCCACTGGGGAAGTGTTTCCAGTTGGACAGCCACTTTGAGCTGGGGGCTGTCTACAGAGAACCCCTGCTAGTCCTAAAGCCCCATGTTATGTTAGAGGCTGCTTTCTCAGACCGGTCCTGGTGCCAGTTATTACAGGGTGGGTCTCCTGTCAAGCAGACAGGAAGCATCAGGAGGGGAAAATCTTCACAAGTAAGGAAAGGAAGTGAGTGGATGGGATAAGTGGGGTAGCCTCCCAATCACTGTGCAGAGCTGGGGCCGACAGGGAGTTCTGGAACAAAGCTGGAGGAATGGGGCAGATGTGGGTAGGTCCTGGGACCCTGCCTTGCTCAGACGCTGGTTAGGGACATCCCAGAGGAGAGGGCTCAAACGTTGAAGCAGATCCTGTGAGAAAGAGCTGGAGCCTTTACGAACGATACTTCTAGAAGGCATAGAGAATCCTTTCTCCCGAGGGGTATCCCATCATGTGCACAGCTCCACACCTGCCGCGTGGGGCGTGTCCTTCTGAAGCCTGGGGGTGGGGAGCGCTCCCAACAGCACCTTGTAAACCAGGGTCCACAGTGACTCTGCTGACACCCAATCGCTAGAGTGAGTCACGTGGCCTCGCCCAAACCCAGGGGCAAATACTTGGGGCCACCGGGAGGCTGGGACCGCGTGGGCGCGCCACGGCGAGCACATTATCTGGCCACTCATTAGACCCACAGCGGAGACAGTCCCCGTGTAAGGGGCAGCGCTCTTCCTTCGCCTCGTCACTGCCTGTCCAGGGGACAGACGCCCTCGAGGAAGGACAATTACGTGTCTAAACATTCAGATTTGGTACCTGGAAATCAAAAGTGCAGCTTTGCGAGGGGAAGGCCAAGCAAAGCACAAAGCAAGGACCACCGGGCGTCCCGGAGCCCCGCGGGGCAGCTCACGGCTGGCGGCACTGCTGGGTGCAAGTTGCCTGGTGGATCAATAGCAATTTGGGGCGCTAGTGGGGGCGCCATGTGAATAACTCGACTGAGCTGAACTCAGAGTGGTCGGCTTCCCGGTCCTTGGGGAAGCCAGTGCCATCCACTTAGCGCTGGCGCCGGGCCATTCTCGGGCACTCCCCCGTCCCCTCCCCCTCCATGTTTCTGCCTCTTCCGCCAGCTCCTGGGTCCAGAGCCCGAGGAGGATGGAGGCTGCGGGACTGCCCCGGGCCCAGCGGTGCTGCCACGAGGCCCTGGGGAAGCTCTTTCCGCGCTTCTGCTTCCTCTGCTCCCTGGTGACCTACGCACTGGTGGGCGCTGCTCTCTTTTCAGCCATCGAGGGGGGCCGGGACCTGAGCACAGATGACCTGGAGTTTAAAGCCTTCTTGAAGAACCTCTGCAGCATCTTGAAATGCAACAAAACAGGTAGGAAACTCACCTGGGCACTCGGGCCTTTCCTCCCTGGCACTCGGGGCCTCTCCTCCAGGTCAGAGGCATCTCTCAGAGCGCGCTGGCCACTGGGTCTGCTTCTGGGCAGCTTGAAGCCAGTGACTTCTCCTGTAAATTGGGAGTGAGAAATAGCCCTGTAGTGGTGAAGAACAGGCAGAGAGTGGGCACGGAGTGGTGCTCTGGCAGACCCGCTCCCTTCCCTCACCCCCTGCCAGCCTCACCCCGTGCAGCAGGCTCTGGGGTTGCACTGCTGGAGACTTGGTGAGGTGGGCGAGTGGGCAGCAGACTCACAGCTGTGGGTTCCTGGGCTGGTCCTTGGAACAATGTCAGATACACCCCATGAATCGTTAACAGGGACTAGAATTCAAGCAAAACTCCAGAGTGGGTTTGGCCCTCCCCTCCCCGAGAGCAGCTTGCTCCCCTCAGTTCCCACTTCCTGTTAAAAATGGCATTTTCCTCCACAGGGCTCAGGGGTGGGAGGTGAGAACTTGGGGAGCCGGCTCTGGTGTCTGGGATCCCCCTGATGCACCCCCTTGCCGTGCGATCTGGGCCCTGAGCCTCTCTGGAGCTCCGTCTGCAGAGGCCACAGTCTAGGGCCAGCCAAGCTCGGGGACCCTGTGGAAAACAGATGAGGGGATGGGCGGGAAGCTGGTTGGAAGGTGCGAGACTCTAAGTCCTTAAAGCTCAGTCCTCACTGCGTCTCACTCACATTCAGTCACTTATCTCTACTTCTCTCTGTTCTCGGAAGCTTGCAAAGATGTAGTCAACAGAGAAAGATAAAATATCAGTGAACAAATAAATAAAAGACACGGGAAACAGTCTCTGAAAGGCAGAACGGGCTGTTTCCTGCTATGAAGGGGCTCAGCAGAGCGCCACACGGGTCACGGGGCCACCCGGGTCACGGAGCGGGTCCCTGGGCGCTGGCTGCCTGGAAGCTGGTCAGAGGCGCCAACAGGGAGGCTCCCGCCAACAGGGAGGCTCCCGCCGCTCTTCCTGGACCCAGGCCAGAGCACACACGCCTCCTGATGGGTGGTGCCACAGTGAGCAGCAAGTGCAGGGCTTCCCAGGCGCCCAGACCCACTGGAGCTGGCGGAGACACACGTGCCCAGGCTCCTCCCCACTTCACCGGGAGGGGGCGTGAGTGGTTCCTCCTGTCCCCAGAGGCCGGAGGTACCAGCACCTCAGCAACTTGCCTCAGGTCACCAGCTAGAAGGAGCCAGGGATTTGCCCACAGGCACGTGGGGGGAAGAGACTCAGAAGAAAGCCTCTGAGCCAGGGCTGCAGGAACGGTCAGGGTCAGAGTGGGGTCCAGGGTGCAGGTCTCTCACACCCACTCAACGAGACGCAAGTCGCTGCTGTGTCCAGGCTGGCTGCCTCCTCTGAGGACCTTCTGGACTAGACTGTGGCTGGTGCCTTGGAGGTTCCCCACGCCCAGCGGATGCCCAGATCACAAGAACCACTTGGGGGCCTCCCCAGGTGCTCTCCTGGCCCCGGGGAAAGCGTTCTAGAAGCCAAGGCTTCCAGTCCCCACAGATCCCAGATGGACAATGTCCATCGGACTTAATGACCTCCAGGAGGGGCTGGCTGCCCCACATAACAGCTCGCATTTTCTAAAAGTCCTTTTGCTTTCTGTTCTTGAAAGCCCTGTGAGAGAAGACAGACATGAGAGCCTCCCCCCGTCCCCTTCCCCCCTCCCCTGCCCTGTGAGATGAGGGAAGCTTAGGGAATTCAAGGGGGCCCCAGGAGGAGTGTGAGCTGGGGGGCTTCTCCCTCAGGTGCGCTTCTCACAGGGCCCTGTGCTTCCTAATCTCTTATGGTGTGGGAGCAGGACCTCAGCTGCCAGGACACTGAACGTCAGGACTCAAGGCGCCAGGCGGTGTTGACTGGGCCACAGATGGGCAGGGGAGGCCTCCACACCCCAGGGGAGGGGTCCCCTCACCTGGGAGACTACTTGAAGTTGAATCCTCTCCCTCACTCTGCTCCTTTATTTCCCGAGTTGAGGAAGATAGGAAGCAGGACCTTGGGTTGCTGCTGAAGACGGTGAAGCCCCAGTGGTTCAGCAGCTCTGCCGACTGGTCCTTCCTGAGCGCCCTCTTTTTCTGCTGCACAGTGTTCAGCACCGTGGGTAAGTCGAAGGGGGCCCGGGCAGGTACCCTGTGGCCGTGGAGGGGTCTGCAAGAGGAAGGCTTCATGCTGCTAGGGGCACCCACCTCCTGCCTTACTGCCCTCAGCAGTGGTGACAGCGAAAACCGTCTCCAGACAGTGGCAAATGTCCCTTGGGGGACACAACTGTTCCCATCTGGAACCACTGATCTGAATCAATGCCTCTCAAAGGCATTGTGGGGCCCAGTGCGGCCCCAGGCCAGTGGCCTGAGCACCAGCAGGAGCTTGTTAGAATACACATGAATTCTCAGGCTGCTGTCCAGATCTGCCAGTCAGAAGCCTGCAGGTGGCCCAGCTGTCTGTGCTCAAACAAGTGATCCCGGTGGTTCTGATGCTCGCTCATGTTTGAGAGGCCCCAGCGGTGTAGTCCTCAGCCTGGTGGCACCTTAGCAGCGCCAGGTTGTCTTGTACAAGCACCACGCCTGGACTGCACCCCACCCCCCACCACACCTGAACCCTACTCCACACCCACCAGGTCAGGTTTGAGGATGGGCCTGGGTCTTTCAGATTCTAGTGGGAATCTGGACTGTGAACCACTGGCCTAATGGAAATGCATTAGCTTAGTTTAAATCCCAAGGAAGCAACACTCCTACCTTTGTACAAGTCACTTAGGGCATCGTGTTGGCCAGTAATTACAATCGGAAGAGGATGTGGGGGAGGTCCCGCGGCCTGTCATCAATAAACATCATCCATAACAGTACCTGCAGGCCCTGCCTCCCTGGGTCACCGGAAATGCACCTGACCTTGATATTGAGAAAGGGACTCCTGGCAGCGTGGCTTGGTCAGCCCCAGCCGTTTTCAATTGGGTAGGCCTGCGTGGACTGAGAGGAAACGCATGGGCTTTTAACTACTCTCAGGCTAAGTGGGGTGGACTGACGCTCCTGGGGTATGTGAATGCATTATAAGTGATGAGATGATTTTCCATTATGCTTTTCAGCATTCAATAATTGAGACAGTTAGTACATTTGCAGGTGCTGAGTGTTCTCGGAGACTTGCTTCCTTGATGCATTTTCTGGAATGTGGAGGATTTTCTGGATTGTAAACAGATCCCACCCAGAGGTAGCCTCAAAGATTTCTTTGAGCCCACTTTTGTCAGAAGAGCTCTGCCTGGGCTTCTGCACAGGGGAAGGCTTTTTTGGGGGGAGGGGGGGAAAGAGGGTTGATTTCATACCTTACGTGGGCTATGTGAGCCTGGCCAGATCCCTCAGCTTTCCTGTCCCTACCCCACTAAATGTGGTGTTAACAGCGGTTGCCAGAATTAAGGTGTTTGCTATCCTGTACTCGAGAAATTCTGTAAGAAATATGACATATTTTCCTTACGTAAAATATCTGACCCTGGAACCCCACCCTGGAGCCTGAGGGGTTTCTACTGGGCAGCCTCTCCTGACTTTTCTAGGGGATACAAAAAAGCTGGGGGGCTTATGTAATGTCTGCAAACCAGAACACCCCCTGTCTGTGGGTCACCTCCGGGATTTCACGGCTGTGCCTCTCTGAGGCACTGACCATCTGGGAAGTCCCTGGTTTCACTCCTGTCCTCCCTGTTCCAGAGCGTCCTCCTCCCTGGCCGTGGCGCCCAGTTGTCTTGGTGCCAAAGCCCCGCGTTCTGAGAGACTCCCGGTCCTGGGCATCCCATGCAGTCGGTCATCTGTGCCTGCCCACTTCTGCTCCACTCCCCTCCCTCAGATCCCACCTGTCATTTCCTCAGTGGCTCTGAGCTTCCCTGAAGCCTGGACAAGAGGCTGACCTGAAGCCAGGGTCAATGTCCTGCTCCCTGAGGCAAGGGCCCGGCTGCTGGACACTCAGGGATCAGAGACAGGCGTGGGCGGTCGACACCTCACCCTCCAGTCCTGCCCGAGACCCTGAGTGCTCACTGCCACACACCTACTGGGTCCTGGCCCACCTGCTGGCTGGAAGGGAGCCGGGCTCAAATTCTGCTCCCCTGTCAGGTAGGCACTTCCAGAGGGGCACCCTAGGCCTGTTCCCATCGGCCGGCCCACAGGTACCTGATCTAAAGCAAGGGCTCAATGAAAGCAAGTCCAGATGGAGGCTGTTCTCGTCACTCGCCTGCCACTGACCCCTCCTGGAATTACAGCTGTGATTCAGGTCTGCAACCCCTGCCCCCCACCCAACCAGACACTCGTCAGCCTGGACCCCAGACCGCTCACTGTGTCCCCAGTGCGTGCAGGGAGCGCTCAATCTGCACAGATCCACGGAGGTGCAGACAGAGATTGCACCCCACCATCCAGCCCCATGGCACCAGAGGGTGGTTCCCACATGCCCCACCTGCCTGCAGGCAGCGGCCCCATGGGGAGCGGCAGCCTGCAGGAGGCTGAGGCTCTGCCAGCTTAGGAATTGCCTCCAACTTAATTTACATGAATGGGCTGGGTTTTCTGTATTAATCATGCTTATGACATCAAAAATTAAACACAGGCATTAAATGCAAAAGCTCTCCCTTGGTGCACTGAGTTCTCCGTGGTAGAAGTACCAGCCGCCTGTGCACCCAGGGGTTTCAAGTTGCTCCTGCCCTTCTGTTGACACGGCTGAGGGAACAGCAAGATGAGGCTGGGGGGACCCTACCACTCCTCCCTTTGCTCCCTGCCTGTTCTGGCAGGCTGGAGGGGTCACTGCCTTGGGTTCTCCTGTCCCAGAGGAGAAGAGAGCACAGACTTGGCCGCTGAGGGCCTGGGCCTGGACTCCCAACTTCACTATGGAGTCAAGAGTATGTAGATGCTGTTGGTCAGGTCGTTTCGTTTCTATAAGCCTCAGTTTCCCCATCTGTCACGGTGATACCAACACCTGCCTGTGAAAGCTGGCTGGCCCACAGTGCCTGCTCAAAGGCAGCTGCTCATAGTTCCAAGGGCAGGAACACCACCGTGTACCAGTGACCAGTGACTCAAGTCATTCTGCAGCTGGCCAGTGTACCTAGACTGGCATTCCCAAGTGACAGTTAAGAAACCAAAGATGTGAACTGTCAAATAATTTTCTAGTCAGTGGCAGAGCTGGGATTTGAACTGAGATCAGCAGGATTCTAGGTTCTGGGAATCTGACCATGTCACGCTGGCGTATGTTCGTATTTCCCCAATACATGGGAGCCATGTATGGTTCCCAGGGCAGCAGTGTAACTTCTATGTCTGCCATCTTGCTGTTGGTCCTGATACGGTGTGCAATGCTGTGCACACCACTAGCATATAATAATTGCTTATTTTGTGAAAGCTAATAAATCGAGAAGACTGGACATCCCAGGGAGGACAAAGGTGTCTTTAAAACTGGTGCCTCCCTGCAGGTTGACTGCTAAGCCCTCCACACCACTTACTGCCCTCAGCCTGCCTTCTGGGGGGCCACCACCCTCCCTCTCCCCATGCTCAGATGTAGCCACCACGGAAGATAAGGCAGTCAGTTCAGTACAAGCTCCTGCTTGTCCCCAGGAACATTTTGAGCCAAATCTCTGAGCATGAGTTGACTCCCCAAAAGGGGTCTCTCTAAAAGGAGTCAGAGGGCCTTCTCCGAAGATGTCAGAACAGTCTTCATTATCTGGACCATGATAACCTCATTGTCAAGGCCCTTGAGGCCAAGGAGAAGCTCTTGTCTTTCTCCTAATCCTGTTTTTTATTCCTAATTCAAGAAGAGATGGCAAGAGACATGTCTTCTCTATCGGGAAAACTCACCCTTCACCCTTAGAATAAAGATGAAAACATCCCTTCTTAGACACACACACACATAGGTAGGTCGATATTCAGATAGACAGGTAGGTAGATAGACAGACAGATAGATAGACAGACCGACAGGTAGACAAACAGGTAGATGGACAGATCGGTAGATAGACAGACAGACCACATGACACCCCTTCTTTCCTTAATTCCCCAGGTCCCTTAGCCCAGACCAAACTGCTGGTTCACCCCACTTCACTTCAGCATGGGGCACACCCGCACAGACACACTGATGTCCCCATGTGGATGTGACCAGAACGGGTCTTTTTCCTAATCTTCTGTCTGATGATCATTTATCCCGTCTCAGAAGAACCCAGAGGGGCGGGGATTCCCTCATGTCCTGCCACCTCTACCCACCTTCCCGCTCTGCTGCCGCACAAGCCATCCCAGGACCAGAGGGTGACTGTCTCAAGGCGAATACTGCCGCGGGGAAGTGGCAGCAGGTGTCTTTAAGGCTCTTTGCAGGGGGAGGGGCAGACAGCAACGGGCTCGGGCTCTGCTCTTTTTCAGGGTACGGCCACATCTACCCCGTGACCAAACTTGGCAAGTACCTGTGCATGCTCTACGCCCTCTTTGGCATCCCTCTGATGTTCCTGGTCCTCACGGACACCGGCGACATCCTGGCGACCATCTTATCTAAGTCTTACCATCGGTTCCGCCGACTCTGTCTGCGGGGCCCTCGCCTCTCGGGGTGGCGCCCGGCTCTGTTGCGATGCAGGAGACCCGACCCCAAGCCCGCGGAAGAAGCGCTCCCGAGGATCGTCATCCACCCTCAGGAGCTCCCGGGCCCCTCCTCGGACAGGTGCCCTCCGGCCCCTGGCACCAACTGCGAGCTGTTCGAAAAACTCCTGGCTCAGGAGAAGCAGCACACCCTGCAGGCGCCCCCGCGCGGGGTGGAGCGGAGCAACTCGTGCCCCGAGCTGCTTCTGGGGCGGCTCTCACGCTCGGTCATCAGCAACCTGGACGAGGTGGGCCGGCAGGTGGACAGGTTAGACGTGCCGCTCCCGGTCATCGCCCTCCTGGTGTTCGCCTACATTTCCTGTGCAGCCGCCATCCTGCCCATCTGGGAGACACACCTCGACTTCGAGAGCGCCTTCTATTTCTGCTTTGTCACGCTGACCACCATTGGTTTTGGGGACATCGCTCTAGAGCACCCTCACTTCTTCTTGTTCTTCTCCGTCTATATCATCGTTGGGATGGAGATTGTGTGCATCGCCTTCAAGTTGGTGCAGAACAGGCTGATTCACATCTACAAAAATCTCATGCTGTTCTTTGCAAGAGTTTTACCACCCTGTTAACGGGCGAAGACTCTGGCGTCTGCGGGGCGACAGGTGCAAGGCGCGGGGTTCCCACGGCTTGTACTCCAGGGCAGAGCAGTTACCCCTTGGCGGGAATGCCAGCCTGTCGCCCGAGACCTTGGAACTTGGCAACGAATCCTGCATGAGGGCCCATTTCAGCCCTGCGGCTGCGCAGAAACACAGCCCTTGTCCTCTGTATCAGGACATCAGAAAAAAGGGCTCAGTCCTCCAAAGCCTAATCCCCCCGTCGTCTCCAGTTTTCAAAAGTCTAACCTTAGGCCGATGAAATCATCTTTCACGTCACATGATGTCATCCATCATGACGTTATGGGTGTCACTGGTGACATGAAAAAAAAAAACTTTATTCTTGCAATTTGGATTTTTGGCAAATAAAGATCTCCCCATGTTGCATCTTGTTTGCAGTTTACGAATCAGCACCAGCCTGGGCAACCTCTTCCTGGACGGCTGCATGAATGCACGTGAGCTCAGCCCCCTCCCGGCACATCGACATCGCTGAGTGAGCTGTCACCTGCATTTCCAGGCACGTGGGCTGGGTCCTGAGTGCAGCCTCTGTGCAGATCGGCGTTCTCACTAAGCGGCCCCTGGGGCGCACCCCCTGGATGAGTGCGCGTGCGCACGAGCTGGCGCCCTAGTAAGTGCCTTGGCATGGGAGGTGTGCACTTACTGGTTGGATGCACTCCTGAGCTGTTCAGGGATGAGTTGGCACGTGAACGGGTCGGTCTACGTGACAGATGCCATAGGTGCCCGCAGGCCTGTTTCTCCAGCTCCTTGACCTGGAAATGTCCGCCTGCAGCTCCAGCGTGCGCACGCGCAGAACAGGCTAGCCGGCCTTGGCACTAAGGCTTCTGGGAGCTGCCGCCGACCCACCGTGAGGGACGATGAGGGGAGAAGGTGCCCTCCGCTGGGCTAACTCTGGGCCATGGCGCAAGGGCTCCCACCTCCTCCAGTGGAATGGCCCGGCTGTTCTCTAGCACACCCAGGACTGGCCTCTCCCACCTCCCTGCCTTCCTCCACCCTTCCTGGGGCGTCTTCAGATTAGCACACAAGTCCCTGTCTCCGAGTCACTCTTGGGATGACTCTTGGGGATCCCTCCCGGGAGAGGTTGCTGCACAGTGTGTGAACTGCTCGGTGACGTGCGAGGCAGGAGAGACTTACTATTTCTGGTCACTTATTAGACATGTCTTAGTTGAGAAAATCAAAGTGTCTTTGCGAGAATATTGGAAAAGTCAACCTGTGTCCTCTGATTAGCAAAATTAGCTCCTTGCTGGGTGGATGGTGGGACTTTCTCCAGCACGCAGACCCCCCTATGGTCAGAAACCCCAAGTTGGAAGAATCCATGGAAAATGCTGGGAGGTTCTAGTTTGAAAAGGAAGGACACACTCATCTTTAAAGACTCCTCTGTGTTAGGTTCCAGTTCTTCTTTCTGGGTCTTTCCTCCTCCCTCCACAGCTATTAGATTTTCTGCCCCTTCAACTCTGACCTACCTCAGGAAATGGAATACACAAGGTAGAGCAAGACACAGAATGACAGGAAGAAGCAAAAGTTGGGTTTCCGGCAGCAGCCTTGCCTGGGGCCTTCGTGAAGTGTCTTCACCTCCCAGAGCTCAGAACAGGCCAGCAAGGCCCCCAAGCCCAAAGGCAACCGAGGCTGGCAGAGCTCGCGGTCAGACCAAGGGCTACTCAAGTTCTGTCCAGCAGACATTCAGTGAGTTCTTGCGATTTTCCAGGCTCAAAGTAGAGTCCAGAGAGGAGGCTGTCTGCCCCCAGCGCATGGAGATCGTCACAGGTGCTGAGTCTGTCAGCCACTCCCTCCCTGTGGCAATAACAATTCCTGTTCACATGTGAGCATGGAGCGTTCAGGAATACAGATTATGTGAAGTAAAGATCCTGGCCATTTGCTTGTTTCATTCATCACTGGGTGCTCTTGGGTGGGTCTAGGGAAATGGCCCGGCATGCCTGCTTGCTTCTTGCCTCCTGCACCCCACATTCCAGCCACCTTGGTTCTTTACTTCCCCAGCCCAGTGCAGGAACGTGAATTCGTTCCTTCCAGCCTTTGCTTGAGCTCCACCTGGCTTTCACACAGGCACCCCGGGGCTTCAAAGAACTCTGTCTCCTCCTCCCCCTCCCCTTGAGACTCAGAAGTCATTGCTCTGGGCACAGGGATGTAGATAAGCCTCAGGTGCGTCTGACGTGTGGCCAGAGTTGAGAGTCTTGACACTAGCTCTCAGCCTGACACCCTTCTCCCTCGGATGGATGAAAGCTCACCTTCATGGCACCTCCTCTGCGTGGAGTCCCCTGGCCCCTGGAAACAGCCCTCCCTGGTTTCCCCCATATTCCACTGTGACCTTCCTGTTACAGGATAGCCCCAAGTCCTCTCCAAGCTCTCAGCCACCCAAATAAAATGGTTGACTCCTTTTTGCCATAATCATTCTCTCCCCTTTTAATCCTCTGTCCCAACTTTGCAGTGTCTGTCACTTATGGGAGAACTCTGGGTGGAACTGACGCCCACAATCTCAAGAGCAACCCCCACTGACTGCACCCCCACCACTTGTAGCCCCCCCCAGATGAGTTCTTAATCTGCCTTATCTTCTCAAATGCTCTCTGAAGTGCTCAGGTGAGGAAACTGAGCCAAGGACCTCGCTCAAGGACTCACTTCTAGTAAGTGATGGAGCCAGGGTTTGCCACCAAGTCTAATGTGACTGAAATCAGTGGCCCTCTGTGGACCGCCAGCACCAGGATCCATGGAACTTGCTGGAAACTCAGATGGTCAGGCTTCAGACAACACCTATTGGTACAAAATGCCAGTGGGTGAGCTCAATGTTCTAACCAGCCCTGCAGGGCATCTGATGTTTTATTCAGAACAGATCTCAGGCTTGAAAACCACAGCTCTGCTCAGCTTCATGGGTGGGCACCCTATATGGATCAGTCACCTGGGAGAAAGCAGGTGGTCTGAACTGCTGGTCAAGGGGAACAGTGCTGAAGGGGTTCTGCCGGCTGGAACAGGCCTCCCAGCCAGAGTTGACACAGTGCCCCCAAATCAGTGTTTCTCTAGGAGTTCAAAGGAGGCTGCTTCCTGCCTGGCAGGACCTCACTTCCAGGCTCTGATAAAGACCCGGCAGGACCCAGCTCTGTGAGAGGGGCTTGGCTAATCTCTGCCTGAGGAATGAGAGGGCCTGAACTTGCCCAGAAACTTGAACTTGCTCCCCACCCCCAGGTTATCTTTGTCCTTTGGATACTTGGACCAAAGTCTTTTGTGGGAAGCCCTGATCCCAGGACTGAGGGGTCACCCTGCGCAGCTACCCACTAGTCCAGAATGGGAGTATTGTTGACTTCTCTTGCTTTCCAACAAGGAAGATAGAGAAGTTATGTCTCCCAGCGATTGGCTCAAAATGATGCAGTTAAAGAGAATGAGGGAGGTGGAGAATAAACACTCCACCCTGGGGCCCCCAATTCTTGAAGACCCAGGGTTCTGCAAGAGGGGTCGTCAAAGGAGGGCAGCCGATCCCGGGGACGTTGCTGGGTCTGCAGGGTTTTGGAGCTGGTGGGGTGGGGAAACCCAGACCTGAGGGTGGTGTCCTGCCGCGAGGCCGTCCCGCATTTCCTCACGAAACCACCAGGTGGCGCCACCAGCCCGCGCGGCCCAGCGCTCTTGAGCCAGCAGGTGGCGCGTCGCCACCAGTTTGATCCACCAGCCCCAAGCAAAGGGCTCCTTTGGGATAGGAGCGGGGGTGGGGTGGGGGGGAGTGATCTCCTGCCTAGATCCCCCCGAACGGGAGTCTCAGACCCCTGTCTTCCACCGCGGCCCTCTCAGAGGGGGCGCCTCGGACTTCTGTCCTGGCGGTGGTCTCAAGGGCCTTTGAGCAGCTGTCTCCTGTCCCACAAATCATATATCCTGACAATTTCACGTCGCTGCCAGAGGTGTTAGCACCTGAGCCCTGCCCAGGTGACAGGTGGGCCCTGCCAGTAATCCCCCGTTAACCGCCCTTTACGCCGGACGCTTCCTCCTCTGATCCACCAGCCTCGCAAGCAATCACAGGAAAGACACCTTAAGTGTCCACATGCAGACGCCCCCAGCCCCATGCCCAAAGCTGCTGTTGGGGTCCCCGGGAAGGGTGTAGAGAATGGGCCGAGAATGTGTAAGCAATGTCCTGAGGGGCCAGGCAAGTGTGGCCGGAAGGGGGGCTTGTGAGAGGCAAGCGCTGAGTCCGGAGACCTGGCCCAGGGACGTGAGGCGGCGGCTCCCGGGTCTCCTGAGAGAGGAGAGGCTTGACCCGGGCACCCCTGGGCTCCTGCTGCCTGGGGCGCCTGAGGCGCGAACTACCTGGTCGCCAGGGCTCGGACAGGTGGGCTGCTGGGGACTCGGCCTCCGCCTCTGGGAGCCCAGTGGGGAACCCACACTTAGTGTCGTGCCAGGCTCTCTGCCGCATCCACAGTTTCACGCCTTCTTAGCTCTGACGCTCACAGGGGTCCAGCCGGGCCTGCGTGCTGCGGCATGCTGTGACCCTGCTGTGTGAATAAACCCCTACGTGATGCTTCCACAGCGGAGATGAAGGCCCACCAGGTGGGCCCTGCTCTGAACTGCTAGACCCTTCTCTAACAACACCGCCCCTCCCCTATTGGGGTGCGCTGGGCTGAGCCCCAGAAGGTAGTGCTGGAAAAAGAATCAGAGACATCCATGACTCTGGACAAAGTCCCTGTCAAGGGCGGAGATGATTACTGGACTCTGCCGTGGGCTTTCTGTTCCCTCCGACTTAGGCTTGAGAGGCTCGAGTGCAGCAGTTAACAAGCCCCTCCCCTGGCCATAAGCCCCTCCCCTGGCCTTAAGCCCCTCCCCTGGCCTTAAGCCCCTCCCCTGGCCTTAAGCCCCTCCCCCTGAGGTTCCTGGTGCATCTTATTTCAGGTGGGTAGGGCAGGTGCGCCGGTGGCTCCTGCACTCATGAACTCATCACAAGCCTTTGCTGGCCCCAACTGCCGTGTGTGGGCGCTAGAGGGAAGGATAGTCCTTTCGGGGACATCTGGGTGCCAGCACCCAGAGGATGCTCGTGCATGTTTCCCGGATCGGTGCTTCCCATCGCAGAGGTGACCCAGACCGCAACCCCACCCCTACAAACACATAGCAGAGAGCCAAGAACGCGGGTGGTCAGAGAGGCCGGGGTCAGCCCGTCCTCAGACCTTCTCCCACTCTGCTCCTGTGTGCTCCCTCACCCGGCTCTCGGGAGCTGTGACAGCCCTGGGTGGTCCAGAGCTGGGCGGCCTGGTGCCGGTTGCCATGGCGACCTACACACATGTGGCTGATCAGCAAAGAACTTTGAAGTTGACTTGGATGTAGACCACAAAGGGGGTCACCCTCTTGGATGCAAATTGTGACTTCTTGTCACTGTTTTGATCTGGCCATTTAGATCAGAGAGCAAAGCCCTTTCAAAGGCTGTGATTTGCAAACAGAAGTGATGGGGGGCTCAGGCTGTGGGTGGAGGTCCCCTTTAGCCTCTTGGAAAAGCAATTGCACTTGCAGAGAGAGCAAGGGCCTGCAAGGCGGTCCCAGCGGGCACTGTCCAGCCGGCACCTACTAAGCGCCAGGAAGCCTGGACTCAGCGAGGGGCAAGATGACCAGTCTCTGCTGTCTCAGAGCCTGAGGTCAGGTCAGCCTCTGCCTCCCAGGCCCCCCTTCAGTGCCCCAGTGTAGACAGGGGCTGAAGTAGCCAGGTGTTCACAGGGTGTCTTCTGAAGACCAGCAATGTCCCTGTCCCTTATTCCCTGTGGCCTGAGTAGCTTTGCTTTGCTGTTTTGTATGTTCCCACAACATTTTGTTGGAAGACAATTTGTAATTTAAGAAAAGGGGGAGAGGGAATCCTTGTAAAGGATGGTTGTAAGGAAAAATAAAAAATCTGCAGTCACAGGTCCGCCATCTTCCATGGTAAGCACACTTCCTGGAAATCGCTGGAAGGTGCAGCTATGGCTGAAAGGAGCCTCAATGGTGCCAACCCCAGCTGGACAGAGGTCACCAGAAGGGAGCTCACAGAGCGAGTGGGACTCTGGGTCCCCCTTGAGATTCTCACCTCTCTCCCACCCAGCTCTGCCTGGACCTTGTTCCCCGATGGACACCTCTTCCCATCCTGGCCTCCACATACCTGCCTGGGATGACTTGGGATTCCCAGAGTTTCTTCTGAAATACAGGAGAGGCTGGGGAGCAGGCTAAAAAACAACAACAGGGCCCTCCTTGGTGGTGCAGTGGGCTAAAGCCCAGCACTAAGAAGCTAAAGCCACTTTAGTGTGAGTTCGATCCCTGCCTGCCCCAGAGGTGACCCACATGGCGCGGCAGACCTCTCCTGACCCGCCCGCTGCTCCCCTCAGCAGTGGACTTCATCAGTCAGCCTGTTCTGCTCCCCACTCTGCCTCTGAATATTCTCACAGCCCCTGTACCTCTGGCCTATACCCCAGTTCTGTCTGCACAAATAAATAAATCTTTTAAAAAACAACAACAGACAAACCTCAATTATATTTTTAGAGAAACAGCCAAAAACAGTAAATTATAAAGAAGCATCAGGAAAAGATCAAACAAGACGGGAGAGTGGTTGACGGGACAGAAGAGAAGCACCCTCGGTTGCTAGCACTTCTATCATGGGGTTTACTCTTGACCTGGGGGATGTCCCACAGGGGCTCTCTGATCAATTATTCTTCACACTGAAAATAGGTTCTGTGCCTGCCCCTGCAGGGAACCTGTGCTCATCATAAAAATAGGAGAAAAGCAGCAATAGAGGCTTAAGGTAGATAACACCTCAAAATTATGGGAGGGTTTGAAATTATCAATGGAAATAAAGGTCTTCTGTCCATGCATCTGCAGCATGGGTTCGATCCCCAGCCAGGGAGCTGACCCATATGGCGCAGCAGACCTGTCTGGTCTCATCTGCTGCCCCCCTCAGCAGTATATTTCAGCCCATCTGCCTGTTTCTGCTCCCCACACTGTCTCTGGGGAGACACCACTGTCTCCCCCACACCTCTGGCCTGTACCCCAGTTTTTCATACATAAATAAATCTTTCCAAAAAATAAAGTGGCCACGAGATGCCTCCCCTGCAGGGCAACCACACAACTTTTGAGACCAACCCCAATGTGAAGACACAGAGGTTTCCAGATTGTTCCTTCTGTGGTACTGAAGTCACACAGATGGCTCGACCCCTGAACGTCTTCACTAATTTTCAGAAGTTGTCTGCTCTGTCCAGGGTCTCCTCCCACTTGGGGAGCCATGGCCAGGGCTGGGCCACTCAGTCTCTCCAGGCTGCCATTCTCTAGGGACCTGCTTTCTGTTCTGAGAAGAATTAGGGGAAAAAACTCTAGAACTTCAAAGATGAGACCCAGGAAGTTACTGTGGCAACAGCGGCACCCCCACAGGCTCCTCGTGTGTGTGCACGTGCACATGCGTGTATGTCCTCACGGCACCTAACAACGGTTTTGCAGAGAAATGACATCTGCTACCAGGCAACAGTCAATATAAATCCAATTGGACATAATGACTGGATTTCTCTCCGCCTCAGAGATGGTGACAGTGATTTCTCAGATGCCTTTTAGTTACAAACAAGTTTCTGAACAAAATAATTAGGTTTGGGTCCTCGCAGCCTGGCCCTATTGGATTATCGATTGTCCACTCACCCCATCCCGCGGATGTCTGGGTGTGCAGTCAGCATAGCAAGTGGGCGAACGTGACTGAGCGGGTGACTGGAGCCTCCACTGGCTTTGTCCTATGCCTGGGGGTCCTCCGGCTGTCCTTTCCTGCCGAGGACCCCTGTGGGTCCCCACCTGTCTGCACCAGGTGACATTCATCAGTTGGCTTGCAGCCAGGCAGGTCCGGGGAGCAGAACCCCATCCTCACCATCCTGACCTCACACCTGCAGAACCTGGGCAAGGCTCTGACCCTCTCTGAGCCCCTTTCTTGCATGGACAAGGCAGCCCTGACACAGTCAAAGGTCTGAGACCAGCACTGACCATCTCTCTGGTGCTTTTCTGTAGAAACAGAGTGTGCACCACCCAGGCAAGCTGCGACTGTGACGGCCACCATGTTGAAAACAAAACGAAACAAAAAAGGTTGGAGAAATTAGTTGTGAGTCTATATTTAATCTGACCCGGATGTATCTGGAACATCATCATTTCAGCTTGTAAACAGGCAGACAGACATTGGCATCCTTTTCTACTCTGTCTTTGAAAT